AAAAAAAAAAAAAGAAGAAAAAACGAAGTTACACTAAGAAGTATCAAAAATAAAAGAAAAAATTTTTTTGCCTTAACAGTCATAGCTGCAAAAACTATTTGAAACTTTTGAAAATTTTCAAAGAATTAAAAGCTAAGCAAACAACTTCAATTGAAAGAAGATAACAAAATTTTAGGAATTGAATCAACAATAGTGCTAAAGACTAAGCAGAATTTTGATTATAATAACTTTCAATTTAGCACGCTGTACGTTTAAATCTGAACTACAAATCATAGAAACTTTAAATTATTGTTGCTGAAATAATTAAAAAAAAAAAAAAAAGAACAACTATGCTTCACTAAAAGTTTTGGGTATTCGAACAGTTGGTGAACGTGTTAAAACTGTAAACCTGAATGAAGGATTAGTATAACGAGTGCCTATTGATGACGATGTATGACGATAAAAGGAGTCACAGTTTTTGTCCAATGATGCACGCAAATCAGAAAATTTATCTTGTTGATGGCGTTGTGGATGATTCGGAAGAAATACGGGATTCAGCGGCATTGCTGTATATTTGCTTAAGCTCCCCAGCTGATGCAGGTTTGCCAGTGTTATACGGAACACTTGCGGAGTTTCCATTTATAGGTGCATCGCTGTAACAGAACAAAAATTTTTTAGCTGTGAAAAAAAAGGTAACACCCAAATACAGACAAATACACGATTAGCATATTTCAATACAACAAAATTGTCTGCTAACGATCTATGCTAAAGAGTGGTATGCTCTAATGACTGTTAATTCCTAATTAAACAACAAGCAAAAAAATGTCCTAAATTAAAACAATAAAAATTAAAAAAAAAAAATTTAATTTAAAAAGAAAATTTTATACTCAAAAAAGGAAAAATATTCTGCGCAAAAAACTATACTTTTAGAAAGCTTTACTTATTAATTTATCGAGCATTCGTGCAAAGGAAAACTTTAACAGATATATTTGAAAAGTCGAAAAATTGTTTTCGACAAGTGTTTCAAAAAAAAAAAACTCTCTTTTCATCGTTAAAGTTCAACAATAAATTTTGCTTTGAAACAGCAAAAAATAAGTATTAAAGCGGTAGCAAAAAAATAGCTTTTCAGCTTTTTTTCTGGTTTTATTTTTTCTTAGTAGGCAAAATAAATTAAATGTTTAAAAAAGCCTTCTATTTAGCCAAATATTACAAATTTTTGCAGAATTTTCCAAAAACACACTGCGTAATACTTATAGTCATTCGTATGACTAGTTAGAATAAAATTAAAAATTTATAAACAGTGATAAAAAATATATGTATTTTTGGTGGTGATTATGCGTGCTGCGAGAAGCGAGAATAAATTTTTGCACAAGAAAGCGTCGGCAGTACAACGCATTAATGTATTAATAACTTTCTTTAATTCCAACAAAATTTTTTCACCTCTTAACTGTCCCTAATCTAAACTAATCTTTATTTTTTCGCTCTTACTGCTTTTATTGTTGCAGCACTTCGATAAATTGTAAAGGTCAAAATAAAATATAAATTTTTACACAATAAAAATGCAGTTTAAAATAGTTGATATTGAGTGCATTAAAAGGTGCGCTATTGCCGCGAATACTGTCTAATAAAAAGTACAAAAGTTTTACCACATTAAGAAAAAATAAAGAAGTCATATCTGATTGACAAACTATATAGATAACGAAAATACGATTGTAAGAAATTAAAAAAATTTAGATTATCTTAATGAAGTATTATGGAAAGTAAAAAACTGATGTTTTGAAAGCAGTCGAATGTGCACAAAACCGGGGAAAGCGCTGTGGGTGATGATGGTGATTTTGTTGGCAATAGAGTGTCGAGTTTGCGTGTGTAACAGAACAGGATTCTCAGTTAATGCGCCAACTGGTATTAAATCTGTGGTGCTAAATTTTCAAAGAGAAAAAAGAAGAATTTTTTTATAAGTTTTTTTATTTTTTGTTATTTTTCATCTTTATTATTATATTATTTTGCCCAGCAGAAAGAAAAACAGCAAGCAAACACTTACTGAATTTGATACTCATCCATGGAGGAAGGAAGACTGCGGGGGGGAGGGGGGGGGGAGGGGAGAGAGGAGACATTGCGCCAATGAACAGCGAAGAACAGAAGAAATTTTAATAGCGATTAGTTGCGAATGTAACTAATTGTATTAATACTGTTATTGCAGTCTCCTGTTGCTCTCAGTATTGCTGCTGCTGAAGCTGGCATTCAAGATATAAGCAGTGATGCTGATAATGGCGATAATAGCGATAGCTCTTTTTTCAATGCTTATAGTGATAGAGTTAGCTGAAACTACGGTGATGGTAACGATGATTATGATGTCGATTGTAATGTTGATGGTGACAATTAGGATGAAACTATTAAATGTCTGGAATAGTCAATACAGTGTTAATTTGAAACTGCATAAAAACTTCTTCTTGAGAAAAGATAGACAGAAAAATAACTCATTTAATCTTCTGACGCTTAAAAGATAAATCATGTGCCAGTTGAAAAAGTTTTATTTCGTTATAGCGTTCCTTTACTACTCCAATTTTCTTACTTTTTACTGTCTTTGTTTTTTGTTGCTTAACAAACGGTTTTTTTTTGTTACCACTGATTTTCAAAGGACGAAAAAAAATGCGCTATGCATCTGAGAGATAGATGAAAGGTGGGATAGAAGGCAAGTACAGAAGAAAAGCTGAAAAAAATACTGGTGTACGGATTTTTTTGGCTTTGAGTTTCATCAAAACCTTTTCACTAGAATACACAATTGATTGCTTCTACGTTTTTTCAAAAAAAGAAGCAAAAGGGAAGCATACCTCTGCGTTTTGGTGGTTTGAGAGACAGACAGCCATTAGACAGTTAAAAGATTTTATTAACGATGACGTCACCGCCTTAGCAGAAGATCTACCTACTTACAGTACTTTCGCGTCAGAACCAAAGTTCTTCAAAGCGTTTTTCACTTATCTTTTGTAACTTTCTTACTTTCTTCATTCCATCTATTAAAAGACGAATGCGTTATACATAATCTTAAATCAAGAAAAAATAACTAAAAAATTTAGTTTTATTTGCACTTTTATTTGTTTGACTGCAAAAATATTTATTGCAGAGGTTTTACTTTTAAGATAATTATTTTGATTTCGCTTTTTTTTTAACCGTATAGAATTAACATTTAGTATGAATTTTTCATAACTGCGCCAGTCTTTTGGATATAGTACAACTTGTCAAGATTCTTGATTAGAGAGTGTATTTAACACATGTTTTTGCAAGACAAATATAGTTAAAAAAATGAGATTATAATAAATTATACCACTTGTGTCGTAAAGTGCTGGGCAGTGCTGTCAGAATAATAAAAAGTATTGAATTTCACCTTGAAATTACTGAAACAAAGACCAGGATCTTTAGGAAAAAGTGTTTTGTACCAAACTCTTTTTTTAGTCGCCTTAATCATATTTGAAAACAAGGTCAGCAGTCAGTTTCTGTACTACTTAACCTTTATGCTTACAAATGGTTTCAGATATATCCCTTTCACTTTTTGCAAAATCTAACTTTTCTTTTAATTTCGAAAAAAAACTGACAGTAAAGATGAGAATCCAAATGATAATGGACGTACTGTCTTAAGAAGTTCATTTGCTTTTTACGTTTTATATGGTTTTATATTATAAGATATTGAAAGTTACCTATGAAGGAGTTCAGCAGTCGCTTACAGCTCACTCGTGAAATCAGAAAAAGAAAAAATTTATGAACATAAGGTAACTTAACGGCTTTATAAGCGAAAAAAAAAAGATGTTTATTATAGCACAATGAACCAAAAAAACAAAATGTGCGGAGTATTTGAGAAGCTTTGCCAAGCGAATGGGTCTTATAGCATATAAAAGAGATGAAACTGCCGTTCAGTTTCAGTCCTCACTAATGCGCTGCTGTGTTCCCATATAACTCGAAGCTTCTGTATTAGAACTGCAAAGCCGGTCTCTTTTACACCTATTGCTTACAGAAATCCCGTTCTCTGCCGACGTGTCTAACAATAATATTTCTGTAATTCTCTCATGAGACGTTTATAGCATTCAACAAAACCGTTTTTCACAAATAAATTATGTTTTGAATGTGCGCGAATAACAAATGCTGAAACCTTGTTTTACTCACAGTAAAATATATATGTTTTTATGAAGGCCCAGAGGTCCTAAAAAAGCATAATTGTCATTAAACGGTAAAGATTCTAATAAATCATTAAGAAGGCTATAAAGAATAGTTAAATTCAAGAGAATTTAATAAGAGAAACAAAAGCAGCATCATTAAGAATAGTATATCAAAAGCAAGCTGATAGATCTATAGAACATTTGAATTCCAAAAATAAGAAAGAGAGATGATAATTATTGGAAAAAAGAGCTAGCAAAAGAGGGTGTAAACTGAAAAATGAGCATGCTCGAAACATATTTATGTTATTATGCTGCTATAACAAGAGTTCTTTCACAACCAAAAGTTGTAGAATAATGTCGTGATCTGGTGGTCTTAACAATTCAATGACTGCAACGCGTAACCTAAAAGAGAAGGTAGGCTACGTAACTTCTTGCAATTTTGTATCTTCTGATACAGCTGTCACAGCTTTAAAATTGATATTTGTTCTAGTGTGGTGTGGAATAGCTAAGAGCGAAAAGATATAACAGGAAGAGGAAACATACTGAATGTACTTTTAGATGCACTTTTATTCAGGCGTCGAAAAAGATTGGACTGACAAAAGTAGGTCATTAGAAGCTTTCAAAAAAAAAAAAAAATCGAGAAAACAAAAAACATTAAGATGTGTTGAAAAGCTAAAACAGAGTGTTTTGCTAAACGGAGGTAGAGGTTTTCGTGACGTATTCACGGTTGTACCATACCGAATAGGCAGAAAGGCGATAACAATGCATAATTGTTGAAAGAATAACAGAAATCATCGCTTACTGTAAGAATTTCAAATAGCAAAAAAGAATATTGTAATTTGGTTTTTGTGATACTCGAGAAGTATACCAGGCATAAGGTTAGAACCGCATAGCAAATGAAGATTGGAAAAGAAAGTATGTTTGAAAAAACGAATAGCGAGGAAAGACCGGCCAAATTTAGCGAACTTGCGTTCGGAAAGAGTGATCGTTAGTTTGACAAAAGTAGCGTTTTTGGTAGCAGATTGCTCTTACCTTACTGACAAGGAAGTATCTTTCTAGCAATTTATATTTCGCGAGACGGCAGAAAAGAGATGCGTTATAGCCATGAGAGTTTGAGAAACAAAGAGGTTACTTAAACAGCTTTAAATTATTTGCACATTTGCTAAGCGAATTCATACAGTGTTTATTCTTTATTACCTATCGCGCTTAAAAATTCAAAATTTTCTGAAGCGTAATAGGTATTCATTGCGCTATCATTTAGACTGGTAACCCCTTCATGCTGATTGGCTGAAGGAAATGATACCAAACAGAAATCCGCTTTTTTTGTGCGGTATATGAATGCCATATACAGCATGCCTGACTCACTAACTACAGTGAGAGATAACTCCTCACTTCTCTAATGCACACTCAACGGAACCGTTTAGAGTTGGTACCAAACAAATATATAGGAAACAGGAAAGTCGCGTAGTCCGAGTTTCTTTGGGGTTTTGAAGAAAAAAAGACACCTAACT